TATTACAGGTATTTTCACTGATGTTATGACAACAAATAACCTACATTCTTTGCCAGTCTGGATTTTAGTAGCCTGCTTTAAAGAATTTGTTTTAAAAATGTGTTTTAAGCCGCATTTAGCAACTTTTCCTAATACACAGTGGTGTGTTTCTATCCATATGCTTGCCTTTTTTTAATAAGGCTAAATTTATTGCTCTGGAATGGGGGTGGATGCATTTAGATAAGCATCATGATTCTAAAAGCTACAAAACGCTGCCCTGTTCCTTGTTTACACAAATGCTAAATTTGCCACCCTAATGAATGGTTCTGTTCAACAGCTGGCTTTAGAGAGCTGTCTCTGGCCCACAGACACACAGACGACGGCTCTGTCTGCTAATGAATGTCAATGCAAGGGAAGTCCGTGAGACAGGGTGTGATTGATCATTATCTGACCTTGATAATCACTATGTTTGTGTGTGTGTGTGTGTGTGTGTGTGTGTGTGTTTGGGAAACAGGCATCTTTATATGCTCTCACTGACTCATCTTTTGAATCCATAGTTTTTTTAGGAAAGGCAGATGTTTGTATTTTGCATCCGCCACAAGAGCCCTTGTTAACAGGCGACCTTTTTCTCTTTCTTGATCTCCTTCTCTCTTTCTCTGGAGAATGTGATTGATAGGTCATATATGTCACACCTCACTTTCATTCCCCAGAATGCTCTGGGAGCTGAGCCATCGCCATGGCAACCTGTCTATTGGCCCGTGCACATCCACATATCCTCATACCCACCCACACGCTCTGCCTCAGCAAGTGCAAATGTATCTACTAACACCCCATAATGTTAAAAGGATGTGTGTTAGGTAACAGTGATGAGTTTTTTTTTTACATATATCTATGGTTTTGGCAGCACATATTACGACGTGTTACTCCGTTTCCAGTGAATGGGAACTACATCAACCAACTTGATATAGATTTTAGTCAGAGTAGATATTCACCTCAAGTGAAAACAAGGGAATGGTGAATCTCAAGAAGAAATGTCCAGGTCATATTTCACACCAAAATTAAGACATATAAGATATAAGATATTATATATAAAATAAAATCTTATTTATTTATTTACTCATTCATTCATTTATTCATTCATTCAATATATTTAAGCAAAATGTTATGATTTTTTCAAAAATATTACAATAATGATAGAATTTTTATAATGTACAGTAGGATACTGTGAATCAGAGGCTTAATTGTCATGAAAATAATATAACAATTATAATTATATATATATATTATATTCATATTGATGCATGTGTATGTGTCTGTGTGTGTGTTGTAAAATATATGTATGTGCCTTATATTTATTTATTTTATTGTATTATTTATATTGTGTGTGTGCGTGTGTATACACACATATACATATTCACACATATACATATTTGAAACCAACATTTTTTTACATCGTGACATTATTTTTACATAAACTGAAAGATACAGTACAACATATTGACCAGACAGTATGTGTCTCTCACTAGCTCATTTTCACTCGCATCATATTAAATATGCGTCTTCTCTGACTAAAGATCTAGTCAAAATAGGGTGTAGCAGTCTTTGTCTCTTTTTCCCTCTGTCTCTCTTTCTGTTTTTCTTCACTCCCCTGCTTCCTCTAGGCCAATAATGTATAATTTAAGAAGTGTGTCTGTATTTATTCATTCAGATTGCACACTGTCTTGAGTGTATGAAGGTGCAGGGCAGGTGTGATTCTTTGATGCATTGCAGGAAGCATCTGTGCGAAACAGAAGTGTCACAATTTCCATATGTTAAATCAACAATTCACCTGTAAATGTGGGTGGAAGGTGATGACACTGATGATGTTGATCCTGTCCCTATTTTAAGGATGATTTATTGGCATCATTTTGACAGTTTACACACATTTTCCGTTTATATCTCATTACTGTATTTTAAAAAAAAGTCTTTAATAAATGAATAACTGAAGTCTGTTTATATTTCATTTATATTTCTTAAGGCAGAAAAAAAAACATCAGCCGTGATACTTTGTTTATTTCACCCTCTCTCTCTCTTTCAAAATCTCCTTACATCCTCTCAAATCTCCTCCTTCTTTTGTGCTTCATCCGTTGGCTCTTTTATCGCTGCTGTTGTTGTTTTTCTGGGGTCCTCATTGTTGAGATCCTGTCAGCATGGCTGAGCGCTTTAAGCTTGTCCCACGGGTGTCATCATCTGCCCCTCTCTCATCTATCTCTCGCTCCCCTAACACACAAGAACCAATCACACAACCTCTGGAAACCCCACCTCACCTCAACCTTCACCCCAGACCTGACGCAACAGCCCTGGGGTGTGAGAGAGTGTTTGTGATTTGGGGTTATGGAGGCGTGTTCATGTGTTTGGGGAGTCGACTAATGACTGTTTTAAGAGAGTGAGGGCTAAATCATACTTTATCATCATAATCAGCAAAATTACTAAATGAAAGAGTGATGAGCACAAGGGTTCATTAGTGGACTTGCTAAGGCAAGCATCCCTTTTGCTATTGCTTAAACATATAGTGTTTGGGATTTTATCTCAGTGGTGGTTTCTCTGTGGGCGCAGGAGAATCAGAACTGGTTTTGTAAGTTTGCACAAATACACACATATACTGTGATAGCTGTAAGTATGCACAAACAAATCCACAGCCGTTTGCGATTGTACTCTTCATCAAAAATATATATGAGTGCTTTGTTGTATTTTCAGTAATTTCTGGGACTGTTATTTTTTGGCATTTATTCAAGCTGTTCGATTGTTATGTCTATAAGTTCTAAAGACCGATTGCACTTACCCATTTGGCAAAAAAAACTAAAACAATTGTGGCCAAAATATATTTGAAATATATGCTAAATAAATGTTGCAAACAGTAAAGTTCAATTAAATATAGTTCTGCCATGACAACTCTCGGAGGGACTGGCATGGTAATGTACATGACAATGTTAATGTATTTGGTCTTGGCGGAATAGATCTGCTACGCTGCTGCTGCTGCGGCAGAGCAAGCACCGTGACTTGCTACTGCCAACATCAACAACACGCTGCTGTGAGCATGTAAGAAATATTGCTGCTGCAAATATAACATACATGAAATAACCCCCATATAGCATACACGAATCACCTCGTAGCAGATCTATGGTGAGCGTGATTTGACCAAGTACAACATGTTCCTGAATCAACATCCTTGTTGATCCTGGAACATCATTCCAATCAACCAATCAGAATTGAGAGATAACTTTTCAGGAAATGTCCGTTTTAGGCTTACAATCAGGATTATGTGCTTCTACACCCTTGTTAATCAGCTATCATTTCCCTCTGATTTTAGGAATAAATTATGGGTAAGGTTAGGTTTAGGGGTAGGGACTGGGTTAAGTCTGTATTTTTGGACAGTAATGTTGATCAACAAAAGATGTTGATCCAGGAGCATGTCTTACTTGGCAAAATCACGGTGACCGCAGATCTATACAGGTGGAGCTGGGGAAGGTGGAGGGTTTCTGAAGCAAGCTGCAACTGCTACGGCAAGCACTACTCATATATTTGAGTGTTGAGCAGCGAGCTCATTGGCTACCGATACAGGAGAGAACCAATCAGCTGTGCCATGTGATAATGATGTCATTAGGTCAGATTGAGTTAGACCTATCGGACTGCGCCATCTAGAGTTTCATGCCAGAACTCTGTATTTTTGAAATAGAAAATATATTCCGTTTCAACCTTCATTTACCAAAATATATTTCTAGCTGCCGGAAGTACAATTTGCTATCTTTGGTAATGGATGCTCTGGCCAATCACATGCGGTGTAATTGCCATGTGACACTTCAGAAAATGTAAAAATACTGTATGGTTTTGTGATTTTGGTTCTACATAAATAGATTAACTGTAAGGTGATCATTCTGTTTATTTTATTTTTTCTTCTGGGTGTCTGATTTCCTCTGTTGGTTGGTTCTGTGATTTCCTACATATGTAACACTTCCAAAAGCCTCTGTAGTTTCAGTAGTCAGACTGCTGTCATTTTGGGTTGACAACTTTACAGGCACATTGAGATTAAACACAATTATTGTGTGTGTGTGTGTGTGTGAGAGTGTGTGTGTGAGAGAGAGAGAGAGAGAGAGAGAGAGAGAGAGAGAGAGAGAGAGAGAGAGAGAGAGAGAGAGAGAGCGGCTGGCGATACGC